CGATGGATATATTAATTAATTTGATTGTGGTAGTCATTACACAAGGTATATCAAATAATCACATTGCATACTCTGAATATATTCCATCTTTTTTTTTTTTTTGAGACAGTTTCATTCTTGTTGCCCAGGCTGATATGCAATGGTGCAATCTCGGCTCATTGCAATCTCTGCCTACCAGATTCAAGTGATTCTCCTGCCTCAGCCACCCAAGTAGCTGAGATTACCGGCATGTGCCACCATGCCCAGATAAACTTGTACTTTTAGTAGAGACAGTGTTTTTCCATGTTGGTCAGGCTGGTCTCGAACTCCCGACCTCAGGTGATCCACCTGCCTCAGCCTCCCAAAGTGATGGGATTACAGGCGTGAGCCACTGCGCCTAGCCTATATTCAATCTTCATAAATTATTTTTAAAGTTTTAAAAAGGGAATTAAATAAATTATTTACATTCATATATATGAAACTTTTGATTTCAAAATTATCTAAAGAGGTACAGATATGAATCAGCAATTATTAGATTATTACATTTCAGTGGAATTAAATGCCTTGTCAACAGTTTTCTGTTGGAAATGCCGTGTATAGCTAGTTCCACCCATTCCTCTAGTTTACTGTTTGACCTTAATTTACTCCTTCCTCTTCTCAGGGTTGCTTTCCTGGCTGGCTTAGTCCTATCAGACAGAAGCCACTGTGGAAACTTCAGGCCCCCAGGCGCTCATAATAAAGTCGTATTACCATGAACAAAAGAGATGTGCTAATATTTGGTGCTATTTGGGGAGCATTTTTAAATTTTCAATACTCCATCTTTTACCAAGAATATAAAAACAATAACCATAATTTGTAGACACCATCTGAATTTACCAAAGCTACCTTCAAGTTCTCCTGAATAATATAAACATTTTAACCAAATATTGTTACTTGCCTTATAAATTTTTTTAAAAAGACTCTAAATAATGGAAATAATCACACCTAAAATGCATAAGAGCTCAGTACAACTGGTCCTATCTCAACATAGTCCTTGAATTAAATTAAAGGACTCAGTCACTAGCTTCTATTGTGTTACCTGAAACTGATGCTTAGCATATTTTTTGCTGAATTCAAATACAAAATGGTACATACATGATTGTAACCATGCAAAAGTATGTCTATATTTGACCTGAAAGGCAATAAGGAAAAATGAAAATAGTGGTTTACAATATTTAATAAAAGTATTTCAATAAGTTTTCAAACAAAAGGTACTTTAGCTAAGCACTTAAAAAAAAATTCAAAACTTCCTAAAAGTCTGAGTGACTACTTAAATGAAAAGCTCTCCTTTATCTGTATGAACATTGCTCATTGGGCCTTTCAGACCCTTCAAACTACTGAGGAAAGTATACTGTATAATAGCATGTGCCCTCCTGTCAGAGAAAACATAGGGGAAAATGGTAAGATGGTTTTCTACTCAGGGCAGGTTAGGTGAAATCCTGCATCTTTTCAAAATGTTAACCAGATGTGGGGTAAATCCTGAAGTTTCAGCTCCTAAAACACCATTTGAAACTTGGGAGCAATAGATACCCTGGAGAAATCATTCTGGACAATAACGACTTTTGGGCAAGAATGGAAGGCAAAATTTGTTTTACACAAAGTAACTATTCAGATTTAATTCAGTAGATGTGAAAAATTATAAAACACAAAATTTACATTTAAAAGAAGATACACAGTGACCAGGCCTGGTGGCTTACACACCTGTAATCCCAGCCTTTTGGGAGGCCAAGGCAGGTAGATCACTTGAGGTCAGGAGTTTGAGGCCAGCCTGGCCAATTCAGTGAAACCCAATCTCTACTAAAAATAAAAAAATTAGCCAGGGAGGGTGGCAAGCACCTGTTATCCCAGCTACTCGGGTGGTTGACGAAGGAGAACCACTTGACCCAGGGAGGCAGAGGCTGCAATGAACCGAGATCACGCCACTGTACTCCAGGCCTGGGTGAGAGCGAGACTCTGTCTCAAAAAATAAGTAAATATAAATAATAATTAAAAATAAATAAATAAAGGAGATAAATGTAAACCAAATCTAATAAAGGCCCTAAAAAAGAGCAAAACAGGCTGGGAGCAGTGGCTCACGCCTGTAATCCCAGCACTTTGGGAGGCCGAGGCGGGTGGATCATGAGGTCAAGAGATCCAGACCATCCTGGTCAACATGGTGAAACCCCGTCTCTACTAAAAATACAAAAATTAGCTGGGCATGGTGGCATATGCCTGTAGTCCCAGCTACTCGGGAGGCTGAGGCAGAATTGGTTGAACCCAGGAGGCAGAGGTTGCGGTGAGCCAAGATTGCGCCATTGCATTCCAGCCTGGGTAACAAGAGCAAAACACCGTCTCAAAAAAAAAAATAAAAAGAAGAGCAAAAGAATACTTCGTTCCAAATGGGAAACAGCAGAAAGAACCTAAGGAAGTAAAAACAGCCAGCACTGATCATATGGTTCTTTAAGGTAGGAAATACTAGGACCAGGTTAAAATTATAACAGAATTTGAGATTTCAAATTTGAAATTCCAAAAAGAAATTTACAGATCTAATCCAAATCCTTTCGTTTACAGATGAGGAAATTTAAGGTCTATTTATTATTCATCCAACAAACTTTGAATAGTGTGCCTACATGCTAGATGCTAGAGACAGAACAAAGACCAAGACAAGACATAGTTCAGGAAAGTCACTTGCCCAAAGTCACAAAGCAAGTTAGCAGTTAACCAGGGGCTCTTTGTACTAAACCCCATATTGTCGAATAACATACAGTCATTTCTGTGCCTGTAAGCACCCTAAGCATTTAATGATGGTTCTATGAAAATATAAGATTTCATACACAACTGATACAACATTTCATCAGGGGTATATATTATCTTCAGAGGTAATATGATAAGGGGTATATATAATATATAAGGGATATACATTATATTCAGATGCTAATAGAATCTATGTAAAATAATCACAGTTTCTTATATAGCATATGAAATAATAATTTCCTTGGAAGTACTTCCTAATTTCTTAGTCATTAGGTGTTCTATGTGCAAATGTTGACAATCTAAATTATAAATTTAAAAAAAAATTTGTATTTATTTTTTAAGTTTGGGGGTACATGTGAAGGTTTGTTACATAGATAAAAACATGTCACAGAGTAAATTATGAAATTTTAAAACATGATTTCTGGTCATATGACTCTTACTATGTCTCCTTTGAATTACAAAGGAGAATGTCATTTTTTTAAAACAGTGTTTAAATGAAAATTAGAACACTAATCTTAAGTGAAAATTAGAATACTAGTTGCATAACATTTAGCTAGGTTCTAACCCTTTCTTTTCAATAAATGACTCAATTTTAAAAGACCTAGTTCTATCATTAACCAGTTACCCATCTAATCATTCACAGCTTAACCAGTTTGATAACGTTAGTGTATATAATATAAGTAGAGACAGTTAATAAAATGTTCTGCATGAGAACTTATTTCTTATTTTTTTCTTTTCTTTTTTTTTTTTAGATGAGGTGTTGCTCTTGCTGCCCAGGCTGGAGTGCAGTGGCATGATGGTTCACTGCAATTTCCTCCTCCCCTGGGTTCAAACAATTCTCCTGTCTCAGCCACCCAAGCAGCTGGGATTACAGGTGCCTGCCATGACACCTGGCTAATTTTTGTGTATTTTTAGTAGAGATGGGGTTTCATCATGTTGGCCAGGCTGGTCTCAAACTCCTGACTTCAGGTGATCCACCCGCCTCGGCCTCCCAAAGTGCTGGGAGTACAGGTGTGAACCACAGTGCCAGGCCTAGAACTTATTTCTTTAAGAGAAAACACGTACCTCACTTTAAAATGAACAATAGCACCTACTACAAAGAGAAAATTAAGTTTGGAACCTATACTTTGTTTTCTTCACTGATGTAGTAACTTTAAGAAAGCAATACAGGAGTTCTATAATATGAGAGAGAATAATAGGAGCCCTCTACTAGAATTAATACGGTAGCCTAAGAGTTCTTCTTTAATTAAAACAACCCAAAAGGAAAAGGTATGAAAATTTTGTAACTTACTGAAATAGAAAACTTCTGAGATACTCCTGATTGGAAAGTAGTTATTTGGCCAGGTGCAGTGGCTCACACCTGTAATCCCAGCACTTTAGGAAGCAGAGGCAGGTGGATCACCTGAGGTCAGGAGTTTGAGACCAGCCTGGCCAACATGGTGAAACCCTGTCTCTACTAAAACTACAAAATTAGCTGATTGTGGTGGCACACACCTGTAATCCCAGCTACTTCAGAGGCTGAGGCAGGAGAATCGCTTGAACCTGGGAGGCAAAGGTTGCAGTGAGCCAAGATCTCATGCCATCTCACTCCAGCTTGGGCGACAAGAGTGAAACTCCATCTCAAAAAAAAAAGTAATAATTTATCTTCTAACAACTCTGAGAACCTATGATGAGAAAGATGAGGGGACTGAAAGCTACCTGTTCTACATGTAACTCAATTACAATATGGAGCTCTAAGATTGATTTCCCATCTTTAGGCTGTAGAAGGCTCTTCTACTGTTGTACTTCTCCCCTGGCCATTCATTCAGTTATTATTTGTCCTCCTTCACTACATAACAAGCTCTGTCAATGAGAAGCACTTGGATATTATCCATCTCTATATTCTACCTTGCATGACAGCACATAGCTGGTACTCAATAATTGTAAAACGAGTACCATAGATGGTAACCAGAATAAAAAAGTTGGTAAGATCTATTCTGATTCATATATCCACACTCTGAAACTAACTGTAATAATAAAACATTGAAGCTACATCAGCAACATATGGTTCCACCTCAGATTATCAGGAAATTAAATGGCAGAGTAGAACTGAAAACTTTGAAAGGGGTGGCCACATAAAAAACAATGTGCATGCAATCTAAAATAACCACTCTCTTTTAAAGAAGAAAGGTCAATTTCAAGCCTCAGATGACTTAAGAAAATTGTCAGGAAGAAAGAAACATTATGTGAAAAAAAAAAAGATAATCTGATTTCTAGATTAAGATGTTTTAATATACATAATGTATAGTATTTCAGATAATTTATTAATGGCATTTTCTATAGGACACTGTAATTAATTCAGTGACGTCAATATTGATCTCATACAGACAAAAGATGAAAGTTGGGTTTTCTTGTGTACCAAGTACAAAACATGTGCTAAAAAGTTAATGTATATAGTTGTAAGAGATCAACGTTCAGGATGACTCAAGTTTACAGCAGTTGCTTCACACAGTTTTCCAAAACTTGGATGCCGCCCAGTGTTACTGTGTTTGTGCAAATGCCATCTCCGGAAGGCCTGACTACCTCCTTTTGCCAGCTCCACTTTTGCCTGATTTACTGCTGCCACTGCTAGATTTGCCAGATGATTTTGAAGAGAAGAGTCTTGTCATGAACTCAGAAACATCAGGCAACTCATGGTTGGAATTCAGCATATTCATTGACTGCTCCATCTCCTGCAAGAAGACAAGGCACAATGATATGTAGGATCCTTCAAGTCTTTTAACTCCTAACACTTTCTATTAAAGAAAAAGCAAAGGAGTATAACAAGTGAAAGGTACTAGTTCTGAGCAATGATGCAACATCCTGCTCAATAGAACTTCACCTATAGATTATTACTATTTTCCATGCTTCCTTTAACCACTAAACATTTTGATTCTTAGTAAATGTCCAATAAAGGATTGCCTAAGGTTTGAGTCTGCTTGTGTTTTAATAAAGAATATTTTTTTCTGATAATGAATATATTTGATCATATTCCTATCTTTATATTTTCTGATTAAGATGCTTTCTTATGATTTTAATGAATATATTTTTAAGTTCATGCTTTCTTTAGATGCCTATAATAAGAATATTAATTTTTAACTATACATGAAGGCATCAGTAAAGTTTGGAAAAGAAGTGTAGTATTTCCAAGAGTTCATTTATAAGCCTCAGTAGTAAATCTATGAATCCTGTATGGCTTGGGTGACTTCAACTAGACTCTAAAGCAATCAACACAAATGTTACAAACAAGTTATTGGCAAAACAGGATAGGATTTGGCACTTTTGAGTATTTGTCCTCCCCCTTAATTGAGCCAAAAATCTATAAAGTATTGTTTAATATTTATATAACATTAATGTAATGTCTGCTTCATTTAAATTTTAAGTGGCATTCTAAAACTGAACTTAAAATTGACTTTAGTCCCATTCAGACATGAAAAAGATAGCAAATACCGTATTACCTATCCTTCCTTCCTTTCTTTCTTTATTTTTCTTTCTTCCTTTTTTTTTTTTTTAAGAGATAGGGCTCAGGTGATCCTCCTGTCTCAGCTTCCTGAGCAGCTGAGACTACAGGCACACACCACAGCACTAGGCTTACCATTTCAAATTGAACGCTGTTACGGTATTAGCTTGAACTGTTCCCACAAAGATAGAATTTATTCCTAAGTTTTAAAGGAGAAAGTGCTTTTACAAGTAAGGCTAGGAAAAGAAATATTGTAAATGTAAACCAAATATGTTAACATGCCCCAATAATTAAGAAATCAATGTATATGGTAAGAGCTCTTGAGTCCCTACAAACATATATCAACTCTATTTTGGATTCTGTTCAATTCTGAAGCTCTTTTTTATCTCCCAGTTTTTGTGGTTTTATTTAAACAAATAAAACATGCACACGAGCCATTGATTCCTTGTCCTCACTGTGCAGACTGGCATTGGGACTAGTGACTCTGATGGCCAGCTGTGCTGCTCTTTCCAGATTGCTTTGTGGTTCTTGGAGGAAACACTGTGAGTAATCTCAGCACAGTAGGATTTGCTGCACATCAGCAGTACTTTCAGCTCCTTGATGTTGTACACTAGGAACTTCCAGAAGCCACTGGGTAGCAAGTACTTTGTTTCTTTGCAGGTCCCATAACCAATTGGCCTTTGAATCTTCTACGAACACTGTTGTCAATTCCTCTAGGTTTCTGCCAGTTAAGCTTAATTTTGACATATTGGTCTGACTGGTGCCAGATAAACCTCTTGGTCCTCTTTTTGATGATCTTGGGCTTCACAAAGGATCTGAGGGCAGTCATGATGCCAATTAGGAAATGGCACCACCTCTGCAGGCAGTACCAAGGAAGAGAGCTTCTGAAGCTCTTGAATCAACTTTTTACAATGTTTACTATGGGCAAAGCACTTTACAAGGAATGAACTTTTAATCAAATGTGACTCTTCATGTTTCCTTCTACTGATGCCACAGTTAATTGGCTTAACATATACAAGGAATGCATAGGATGTATTACTTTCTAACACTGAAGCAAAAATGCAAACATTTACCAATAAAACATTCTGAAATATCATAAACTTTTCCTATGAATCTTTTTCTGCCATTCCTGCTTGGAATAGACATCTACCTTCCACAGAACGTAATCACCTACTACCTTAGCAAACATTTCTATTAAGAAAAAAGAGCTGGGCACTGTGGCTTACACCTGTAATCCCAGCACTTTGGGAGGCCAAGGTGGCGGATCATGAAGTCAGGAATTTGAGACTAGCCTGGCCAACATGGCGAAACCCTGACTCTACTAAAAATACAAAAATTAGCCAGGTATGATGGTGAGTGCCTGTAATCCCAGCTACTTGAGAGGCTGAGGAAGGAGAACTACTTGAACCTGAGATGGGGAGGTTGCACTGAGCTGAGATCATGCCATTGCACTCTAGCCTGGGTGACATGAGCAAGACTGTCTCAAAAAAAAAAAAAAAAAGAAAAGAATAGAAAAAAGAAAAGTTACAAAATCCCCTGACAGCAAGAACACTATTTGATAAATCCATTCTATTTCCTACATTTAACTGGACTATGAGCCTACTGATGACAGGAATAGCCTATGATTCATTTCTGAATCTCCAGTATCTGGACCCTAGAAACTGATTGATAAATGTTTAGTCAGCAATTAATAAAATGGCAACACATCAACATACTAAATAAAATGAAGAACCTTGAAATTCAGAAGATACTTGTTGATGGTTGAATGGAAAAATACACAATGGATTTTTGAAAAAATGAAGAGTTCAAATAGAAGCCAATATTCAAAGAGAAAATGTGGTAGCGCTAAATTTGAAGCATCCTACTTAGCAAATCCTCTCCCTCTGCAGAACCAGTATGGTTTTGTGGTATAGAATTTAAAGGTCACTCTTCTACTAATCCATCCCCCATGGCCTATCTGAATTACTTACGTGTGTCTGAACACATAAACTGAGTATGTACTCTGAAGAGAGTTTTACAAAGTAAAGACAGATCATAGGAGCAATCATTTTGTGAATTATTTAGATTAAGTATACCAGAATTATTATACATTTCAACTATTTAACAAGTAAGGCATACAAAGAGGCTAGGATTCAGTAAGATGTTTTAGCTATACAAAGAGATTCAGGCCTTTATCAGGCAGAACTAACAATTTATCTAGTCTAATAGAAACAACTAATTAAATGCCAGGAAGATAATACTATGTTAATACAAATTCTAGATTAATTTGGCTTGGGAACTAGAATAAAAGTGAGAAAAACTAAGCCACCCAGCTACAATGGGATAGAGCAAGTATCACGATATGCTTGCTCTGTCCCATTGTATCCCACAATATCAAAAACCCACAGACAGGACCAAACATGGTGGCTCAGACCTATAATCCCAGTGCTTTGGGAGGCTGAGGCAAGTGGATAGCTTGAGTCCAGGAGTTTGAGGCCACTCAAATTGATTGTGCCACTACACTCCAGCTTGAGCAACAGAGACTCTGTTTCTTAAAAAAAAAAAAAAAAAAAACTTCACAGCTGGACAATCATCTTACCCGTCTCATATCAGGATCACTTGTGTTGACGACTTTAGGCAAAAGCACAAATATCAATAATGGAAGAACCATCATCATAACCTGCAGAAAAAAAAAATCCAGATGTTTTTCCCCCACTTTACAGGTAATAGAACAAAAATTGCACATAATCAATGGTGAAATTAAAGATTTAAATGTTGTACACACAATAACGCTAGTAGCAACCACCTCTATTCTACTGAAACAGTTCTGATGATAGCAAGGTGCTGTCTGTCTGACTATGGTGGAGTATTATAGAATGTAAACGTTTTCTGTATGTATGCTTGGACTTTATAGATACCTCACTTCATAGTTGTGCCACCCACCTATCTTTTTGCAGTTTAGTGTGTTATTTAACACAAATAGTTTGCAAATGGAACTATCTATTCACTTTTTTTCTATCTATAGCCTGGCAATTGGATTGGTGATCCTGATGGCAAGCTAACTGCTCTTTTCGGATGACTGTGGTTCTTGTAAAACTGATCTACTTTAACAGATGAGTTCTGAAAAATGATCTAGAAGCATCAAGCACTGGATATTTCCACGGAATTCCAGAAATGAGAACATGGAAGATGAATAAACTGGAGATTCACTGCTGACTTCTTCTATCCAGTCTACCCTCCTGCCTCTTTATCTCTGACAGATTCTAAGTACTAATTTATTTCTCTCTAGGTGATATACAGCCTCTATATTCAGAGGCTATATATATCATGTGTGATCTAAATAGGTATCACCAAGGAATATGGCCAAAACATAAATTCTTTTATTTTTATTGATTGATTGATTGATTGAGACTGAGTCTCGCTCTGTTGCCCAGACTGGAGTGCGATGGCACAATCTCGGCTCACTGCAACCTCCGCCTCCCAAGTTCAAATGATTCTTCTGCCTTAGCCTCCCAAGTAGCTGGGATTACAGGTGCCCGCCACCACACTGGCTAATTTTTTATATTTTTGTTAGAGACGAGGTTTCACCACGTTGGCCAGGCTCGTCTCGAAACCCTGACCTCGTGACCCGCCAACTTTAGCCTCCCAGAGTGCTGGTATTATATGCGTGAGGTACCACGCCCAGCCTATTTAGATAAATTCTAAACAGCAATTCAATTTTTAAAAACAGCAAAAGAAGGCTGGGAGTGGTAGCTCATGCCTGTAATCCCAGCAATCTGGGAGGCCAAGGAGGGTGGATCACGAGGTCAGGAGTTCAAAACCAGCCTGGCCAATATGGTGAACCCTGTCTCTACTAAAAATACAACAACAACAAAAATTTAGCCAGGCATGTTGGCACATGCCTGCAGTCCCAGCTACTCAGGAGGCTGAGGCAGGGGAATCTCTGTAACCTCGGAGGCGGAGGTTGCAGTGAGCTGAGATCGTGCCACTGCACTCCAAGCTGGGCAACACAGAGAGACTCCATCTCAAAAAAAAAAAAAAAACAGCAAAAGAAAAGGTCAATTTGTTTCTAAAAACTGTTTTCTTAATGGTAGTCAACAATAATTTATTGTATATTTTAAAATACTAACCAAAGAGTGGAATTGGTATGTTCCTAACATTTACAAAAACATGATAAATGCTTAAGGTGAGGGATATCCCAATTATCCTGATGTGATTAATACACATCATATGCCTGTATCAAAATATCACATATATCTCATAAATATATACATCTATTATGTACCTACAATAATTAAAAATAAGGCCGGGCGCATGGCTCACACCTGTAATTCCAGCACTTTGGGAGGCTGAGGCAGGCGGATCACAAGATCAGTTCGAGACCAGCCTGGCCAACATGGTGAAACCTTCTCTCTACTAAAAATACAAAAATTAGCTGAGTGTGATAGTGGGCGCCTATAGTCTCAGCTACTCAGGAGACCGAGGCAGGAGAATCGCTTGAACCCAGGAGGCAGAGGTTGTAGTGAGCCGAGATCACACCACTGCACTCCAGCCTGGGCGACAGAGCGAGATTCTGCCTCAGAAAAGTAAATAAATAAATAAATAAATAATAAAAACAAATTTTTAAAGAATGCATGCTATTAGTGTTTTCTTATTAGTATCATAACATCAGTTTCATAATGCCAACTACTTAAATTACCACAGAAAAACTTTTCATTTCACATGTTAAAAAAAAGAGAAAGAAATCCTTATTTGTGCTATCAACAGGGATGGTTAATAAATGACGGCACATTAACCAATGGACTAATAATATGCAGGTAGTATGAAGAATGAGACATTTCCAGATATGACTGACTTACTGAATATTCTTATTCTATCTGAAATATAAAACATGTCATTATAAATATTTATCCAATTTCTTTTACACATTTCAACATCAAATCTACAGTGCAATTCTCACTATATTCTCTTCATTATGTATTCCCGAAGCCATTATCCTTCTAAAATCTGCAAATTACTCACAATTATCCTTTCATCCAACAATCTGACCTCAGCTTTCTATCTCAGAGTGGTTTGAAGTTTTCCCCTACCTAGAAGTGAATTAGGTATTACTAAAGTGCTTTATTTTAGGCTGATACATACCATTGGGTTCATCAGAAAGTCTGTCCAGCCCCATGATTCCCTTTTAATAAAGTAAGAAGGTGGACCTGAAGATTTCATTTGGAGAGGATAGGGCAGTCTGACAACCTCTGATGTTTTGATGTAATTCACATATCTTGCTCTGATAAAGCAACATGAGGAAAGCAACAGTAATTCCATTAAAAACATGACTAGTTAAAAGAACTGCTTATACTATATTAGCAAAGCATTATACACATCTTCAGCTTTTTCCAAAATGCTTTAAAATCAAAACTTTTGATCTTGAAAATCTGACCAAAATAGCTTTATCTAAATGTCTAAAATATGCAGCAAAACACAGAGGAAAAAAATGCTAGACTTGGAATCTTCTAGTTGTAGCTCTGTCATTACGTAGGCCTGTGAAATTAGATGAATTTCCTAACTTCTATTGATGTCAAAAGTTCTTTTAGAATCCTTCCAGTGCTAAAGTCATTTAATTATATTTAGTAATGAACTTACTTCATTAGAACATACAAAAATACTGGATTTTTTTGGTGGTCTAAGAAATGCATTATTGGATGTAACCAATTTTTAAGACTATATTGCAAGAAAATTTTATAATGCAAGAAAGCACTGCAACAGTGCTATAGGTAACACTACATTTTTCATCAAAGATACACTAATTTTAATCAAAATTCTCATCCATGTTTACACATGATCCATTTTACTTTTTGAAAACTGCCTCCTCCTATTTCACCGTTCACTGCTGTGTTAAATTCTGGGAATTTTTTTTTTTCTGATCTATCTCCCACTTCATCAAACTTCTGTTCAATTTCTTAATGCACCCATGAAGTTGTACATTTCAATGCCTATATTCATTGTAGAAGTTCATTTTATTCTTTTTTCAAATATCTATAGCCTATTTTGGTATATCATCTCTTTTTTTTCTGAGATGGAGTCTTGCTCTGTCACCCAGGCCAGAGTGCAGGGTGCAATCTCAGCTCACTGCAACCTGCGCCTCTCGGGTTCAAGTGATTCTCCTGCCACGGCCTCCTGAGCAGCTGGGACTACAGGCACGTGCCACCATGCCCAGCTAATTTTTTGTACTTTTAGTAGAGATGGGGTTTCACCATGTTAGCCAGGATGATCTCAATCTCCTGACCTCATGACCCACTCGCCTCAGCTTCCCCAAGTGCTGGGATTACAGGTGTCAGCCAACATGCCCAGCCCTGGTATATCATTTCCATGGCAGTCTTTTATTCCCATTAAGTACTTTCATATGTTAAATTATCTTAGAGTTTATATCCAATAATTCTACTATTCAAAGTTCTTGGAGGTCTGATTTATTTGCTGACTCAATGTAGTCTGTTTTCTTGGGTACTTTATAAGTTTAGTTGACCTCATTTACCTACTTAAGTAAATAGAAAGGGCATCTCCTTCCAGAGACTTTATGCAATTGTTTCTGCCAGAAATTTGGGGATTATAACCAGGAACTATTTTGTTCATTGCTCAGCTTGGAAGTTCCTGGATTATGCAGGAAGTAATAAATTCATATCCCAAATTTTAATGAGTCTAGGAGCATAACTATCAGTTTTCAGGGAGACTTTTTCCCCCAAAGGTGAGGGTCAGACTTTTCCCCCAAAAAATCTAGAGCCTTCTGGATTTTAGTCCCAAGTGTCAAAGGGAGGACCAAATTTTAGATCTAATTCTGACTCCAAGCAAGCCCCCCCACTGCACACGGCTTGCCTCCCCATTGCACACTGCTAATTAAATCTAAGCCGTATGGGCTAGAGAATATCAAAATCTCAGGTGGGGAGTGGTTTGCAGTTTATCCCCTAGGGAGTTCCTTTGTTTTGGGGGGAACTATGCATTTACTAATAAAAGAAAATGTTTAGCCAGGTGCGGTGGCTCATGCCTGTAATCCCAGCACCTTGGGAGGCCAAGGCAGATGGATCATTAGGTCAGGAGTTTGAGACCAGCCTGACCAACATGGTGAAATCCCGTCTCTACTAAAAATACAAAAATTAGCCAGGCATGGTGGCACACACCTGTAGTCCCAGCTACTCAGGAAGCTAAGACAGGAGAATTGCTTGAACCCAGGAGGCAGAGGTTGTAGTGGGCCAAGATTGTGCCATCATACTCCATACTGGGGAAAAGAGTGAGACTTCATTTCAAAAAAAGAAGAAGAGAAATGTTTGTCATACTTTTATCCAGCATTTCTAAGGCTTTTCACTCTGCCAAAACATCAGAAATGGATATCCCACATATATTCAAAACTAATTTATGCATGCTTATAAAATATTGGTCAATGCTGGGCAGATGGCTCATGCCTGTAATCTCAGCACTTTGGGAGGCTGAGGTGGGTGATCATTTGAGGTCAGGAGTTTGAGACCAGCCTGGTTAATATGGTAAAACCCTGTCTCTACTAAGAATACAAAAATCAGCTGGACATGGTGGCACACACCTGTAATCCCAGTTACTTGGGAGTCTGAGGCAAAAGAATCACTTGAACCCAGGAGGTGGAGGTTATAGTGAGCTGAGGGTATGCCACTGCACTCCAGCCTGGGTGACACAGCAAGACTCCATCACACACACAAAAAAAACATTAGGACATATATGAATCCCACTTTGTCCTCTACTCTGTCCCACCCCCAATTATTAAAATAATTTTTTTCTTTTATTTAATTTAACCTATGCTTCAGACATACAATCATCAGGAATGTATCTGAAAACATGAATCCCACTACTGCAATCAGTTCTTAAATGCTCAAGCAAGAAGTATTCTTTACCCAAGTTTTAAAAAGGCAAATAAAACTTTATACAGTTGCTCCTCGATTTACATTCCAATAAGCCCACTGCAGGTTGAAAAATACTGTAACTAGAAAAGGCATTTAATACACCTAACCTACAGACCAACACAGCATACCTTAGCCTACCTTAAAATTGCTCAGAATACTTACATTAGCCAACAGGTGGCAAAATCACCTAACACAAAGCCCATTTTATAATAAGAAACTTATTGACGTCATGTAACTTACTACGTTCGTACTAAATGTAAAAAAAAGAATGGTTGTTAAGGGTACTTAAGGTATGGTTTCTACTGTGTATTGCTTTAGCACCATGGTAAAGTCAAAATATTCTAAGTTGAACCATTGTAAGCTGGGGACCATCTATATTTAAAACAATATTCCTATTTGCTGAAACCACTTTATTCAAAATTTAACCAGAGTAAAAAGGATAAAAAAAAAAAAATACAAGTATTCCCTTTTGTGTAACAGCTCTCATTCCCTCCAATATTGTGTTTTCAACAAAAAAGTTTTTAAAGCAGTATATATAACATATACTATGATCCATGTACCCCCCATTTCCAAGCTTACAATTCTAAAATATACAAGATACAAAGTCATGAAAAAGTCCTTTAATGCCTAGATTTAACACAAAAAAACTTTCATTTAATTTTATTTTTTGAGACAGGATCTCACTCTGTTGCCCAGGTTGGAGTGCAGTGGTGCAATCATGGCTCACTGCAGCCTCAACCTCCCAGGCTCAAACAATCTCCTACCTCAGCCTACCAGGTAGCTGGAATCACAGGCATGTGCCACCATGTCCAGCTAAGTTTTGAACCTTTTTTTCTTTTGGTAGAGACAGGGTCTCACTATGCTGCCCAGGCTGGTCGTGAATTCCTGGGCTCAAGTGATACACCTCCTTTACCAGCCTTGCAGTGCTGCGATTCTAGGAACTAGCCACCACACCGACCCTATATATATACATTTTTAAAAATCTTCACCTTTCCAAAAAGCCACGAGAAAGTTAATGCTTTTAAAAATTCATCTCCTTTGGGCCGGGCGCGGTGGCTCAAGCCTGTACTCACGGCACTTTGGGAGGCCGAGGCGGGTGGATCACGAGGTCAAGAGATTGAGACCATCCCGGTCAATGTGGTGAAACCCCGTCTCTATTAAAAATACAAAAAATTAGCTGGGCATGGTGGCGCGCATCTATAGTCCCAGCTACTCGGGAGACTGAGGCAGGAGAATCACCTGAACCCAGGAGGCGGAGGTTGTGGTGAGCCAAGATCACGCCATTGCACTCCAGCTTGGGTAACAAGAGCGAAACTCCGTCTCAAAAAAAAAAAAAAAAGTTCATCTACTTTGAAACAATCTATTCCATCGAAAAATATTTATAAACATATACGCAAGGTACTACCTTCTAACTGAAGCTTTGCCCCTACCCTAAATAGTCAAAAGCAAGAAACGTCACCAGAGTTTGGACAAAAAAAAATTCTAAGACAATAATTTAACTTCAAAAATAAGGAAGAAGCTGGACACAGTGTGTGCCTGTAATCCCAGCTACTCAGGAGGTTGAGGTGGGAAGATTGCTAAAGGTCAGTTTGAGGCTGTAGTGGGCCATGATTGTACCTGAGAATAACCACTACACTCCAGCCTAGGCAACATAGCAAGACCTTGTCTCTCTAAAAAGAGAAAGTAGGGGGAAAAAGTAATTTGTTTTTAAGAATATGTTTATTGGTGGCATTAGAATACTAGTTTTCTGATAATATCAAGAATATTCTCTTGGACAGGCACAGTGGTTCACACCTGTAATCCAGCACTTTGGAAGGCCAAGGCAGGTGGAGTACTCGAGGTCAGGAGTTTGAGACCAGCTTGGCCAATATGGCGAAACCCCATCTCTACTAAAAATACAAAAATCAGGCTGGGCATAGTGGCTCATGGCTGTAATCCCAGCACTTTGGGAGGCTGAGGAGGGCGGATCGCAAGGTAAGGAGTTCAAAACCAGCCTGGCCAATATGGTGAAACCCCATCTCCACTAAAAATGTAAAAATTAGCTGGTTATGGTGGTGCCTGTAGTCCCAGCTACTTGGGAGGCTGAGACAGGAGAATTGCTTGAACCAGGGAGTTGGAGGTTGCAGCGAGCTAAGTTCATGCCACTGTACTTCAGCCCAGGAAGACAGTGAGAATCCGTCTAAAAAAAAAAAAAAAATCAGAGGGACATGGTGATGTGTGTCTGTAATCCCAGTTACTTGGGAGGCTGAGATACAAGAATCTGGGAGGCAGCAGTTGCAGTGAGCCAAGAATGTACCACTGTACTCTAGCCTGGGTGACAGAGAAAGACTTTGTCTCAAAAAAAAAGAATATTGTCTTGATAACTGTCTCTGTTTAGTATACATGCTAAAAGAAGAGAATGAAACCATTACTTGTCTATCAATAGGAGCTAGTTATATAAATGATGGCAAATCGATCAAAGGACTAACATGCACCTAAGATACAGGATGGGACAGCTCCATATGTGACTCATTCTATTTGAATTATGGCGTATTTACATATTACATTCTTAAAACTTTCAATGTCAAAGAAAGCAAAGAAAGAAGAAGCAAATTTTAGCAGTAAACACTAACTCAAATGTAAATACTACGATACTAAGTAAACATGTGTCAGCTCAAAAAAAAACAAATCAGCCTAAATATGCTGGGCACACACCAAAAAGATCAGTAGTAAAATTATTTATTAGTCCTCTACCTCCAGAAATTGTTTTTGCCTTTGCCTGATCTGTGCTTTATTACTGCAACATAGAGTCATATTTGATAGCTCAAACAAAGAAGAGACATTACCACTTAAAACTGTTTAATATATTGCCTGTTCAGATTTTACCAAAGAGAATGCCCTGAGACAACAAAATAAATAAATAAATTTGTTTTATTATAATGGGAAGCTGACTCTGAAAACTATAGATATCTACACAAATGTTTCAACTCCAAATATATCTTGCTATTCTCCACACTCCCAGTCTAAATTAGACTACAGTTCTTTTCACCTCAATTGTTTTCCCTAGAAACATGACATTTCTGGCCGCAAGCAGTGGCTCACAGCTGTAATCCTGGGACTTTGGGAGGCCGAGATGGGTGGATCACCTGAAGTCAGGAGTTCAAGACCTAACTGGCCAACACGGTGAAACCCCGTCTCTACTAAAAACACAAAAATTAGCCAGGCATGGTGGCACATGCCTGCAATCCCAGCTACCAGTGGGCTGAGGCAGGAGGATTGCTTGAACTTGAGAGGCGGAGGTTGCAGTGAGCCGAGATCGTGCCATTGCACTCCAGCCTGGGCAACAGAGTGAGACTCTGTCTCACAAAAAAAAAAAAAAGAAAAAAGAAAAAAAAGAAATACTACATTTCCATTGAACATAAAAGATTCCGGAAAGAAAGGACCACAGTAATTTCTAGATCAATGAAGTATCAGATAGATAATAAGAGGTATTATCAAAATATCCTAGTGAAAAACAGGTGATGAATGGTATTTCTAATTTAGAAAAGTTAAATTATTTCCAACTTAATAATCATATTTCAATTATATCTTCCATGGCGCTTTAGCTCCTATAGTAAGTAATCATACCTTTTCTTTATATAATCATATTAGAAGCTTTAAAATAAATTTTAAGCCAGAGCAAGATGCTCAACTTTACAATTTTTTCAATGTTCAGATTAACACAACATGAAGATATTTTAAGTGTTTTAAGGAATAGCTATAGTTTAAATAAAAAGAATTTTTCATCTGAACTATTAATTCTAAAAGAAATATATGATAAGGTATTCGGTAGCCTAGCTTTTGGCAAAAATTAAATCAGCTGCCCTCACCTCATTTTTCCTTTTGAAGTGATATCCACTCGAACAGGATCAAATCTGTAAGCTGGAGATACAACTTCCACTACATAAGATCCAGAAGGTATATCATGAACCACAAAACTCCCATCTGTCCTGGAAAAATGAAAATCATATTTAGCTACTTCTGATCAACAGCTTAGTCTTTTCTTACCTGCTATGACCAAATCAACTCTCCCGAACAATGACATTAAAAGCAACTGGCAAATAAATAGGCAAACGTCCCATGCTTCAGTTTCTTTCTTCCCTTCCTTTCCTTCTTTCCCTCCCTTCCTCTCGCACTTCTTTCTTTCTTTTTTACTGGAGTGCAATGGTCTCTCTCTCTCTCTTTTTCTTTCTTTTGAGAGTCTCACTGTGATACCCAGGCTGAAGTGCAACGGTGTAATCTTGTCTCACTGCACCTTCTGCTTCCTGGGTTCAAGCGATTCTCCTGCCTCAGTCTACCGAGTAGCCGGGATTACAGGCATGTGCCACCATGCCTGGCTAATTTTTGTATTTTTAGTAGACGGGATTTCACGGAGTTGGCCAGGCTGATCTCGAACTCCTGACCTCGGGTGATCTGCCTTGGCATCCCCAAGTGCTGAGATTACAGGTGTGAACCACTAAACCTGGCCTTCAGTTTCTATAATTATACTGAATAGGTTCTGAAAATACCCAAGCACTCCAAAGTAGCAGAGAAGCCTAACATAGAAAGTAATTATTTTCCTTCTATGGGTAGAGATGATAGGTGACAGAAACACAGTTCCCATTCTAAAGCCATTTCTTCATTGAATATATATTATTATTACAATATTGGGGTTCAATATTGCCAGTCACCCCAACAATTTCTTTTTTTTTTTTTTCTTTTTTTGAGACGGAGTTTCGCTCTTGTTACCCAGGCTGCAGTGCGATGGCGCGATCTCGGCTCACCGCAACCTCCGCCTCCTGGGTTCAGGAAATTCTTCTGCCTCAGCCTCCCCGAGTAGCTGGAATTACAGGCATGCACCACCATGCCCAGCTAATTTTTTGTATTTTTAGTAGAGACGGGGTTTCACCATGTTGACCAGGATGGTCTCGATCTCTTACCGTGTGATCCACCCACCTCGGCCTCCCAAAGTGCTGGGATTACAGGCGTGAGCCACCGCGTCGGGCCTAACAATTTCTTACTATTAAAAATGGCATTTTGGCTGGGTGCAGTGGCTCACACCTGCAATTCCAGCACTTTGGGAGATTGAAGCGGGTAGATCATGTTATATCGCACTCAGCACAGAAAGTCAACACCAGAACAAAAGAATGCCAAATTACAGGGTTTATTGCCGGCGACCACGGAGGACTCACGTCTCTCCAACCCGTGGCAGAGAAAGAAGAGTGACAAGACCTTTTTATACCCACAAAACCACCTTGGGAGTGGGGGTGAGGAACGGAGATGGGAATGAAAGCTGTCAATCACCTCCTAGGCTGAGAGGAGGGTGAGGGGGCTCCAGATATTCCAAGGGCCAGGGGACTTTTGTCATTCCGATTGCCACTTAAGTGGTTTACAGAGGTCAAGGTAAACATTAGTTTATACATTATTTGGACAGGTGTGGGGTCCACATAATTTTAGGTTACTTGGCGCCAGGATGGAATTATCTAGGGGTGCTTACTTTGGTAAACAAAGGCCGGCAATTCTGGCAGTTACAGATAAGAGAAAGTATGCAGCTTGTCCTCTCTTTGCATTTTGCAAGGTAATCTTAGTAGTTTACAGAAGCCATGGCTAGCAGTCATTGTGAGGAGAATGGAAACAGTTTTCCCATTTTAAAATGGCATTGTACTGGTTCTAATTCTAGGCCAGCTATATCACAATCACAAAGAAGTTCAAGACCAGCCTGGCCAATACGGTGAAACCCCGTCTCTATTTAAAAAATACAAAAATTAGCTGGGCATGGTGGTGTGTGCCTGTAGTACCAGCTAATCGGGAGGCTGAGGCAGAAGAACTGCTTGAACCCAGGAGGCGGTTGCAGTTAATCAAGATCATGCCATTGCACTCCAGCCTGGGGACAGAGCAAGACTCCATCTACCCCTCGCCCCCCAAAAAAGGCATTTTGTTCTAATTTTGATCTGCATTTTTTGGTTTTCTGTTCTTTTCAACAAATAATAAAAGGTATTTAAGTATGTTTGTTCTACTTGTTATACATAATTCCCATTTACTTTGGTTACTAGAAGCTTAAAATGTTTATGTAGTTAAAAACATCCATCTTTTCCTTACTGATTTCTTCTAAACTTCCTAGACTTAGAAAACCATCCTATCAGGAGCTGATAATTTCATTTCACAGATCAAAATTAATTTGTTTGGAAAATGAGAAACTACTATTCTGAGGGGAAAATTTTTTCTGTTTCAGGAAAGCAAATGGTTCTAAATGAATCAACTGTATCAGATAATTCCCAATATCATAACAATATATTAAAATAATGCTTCTTAAATCTTCATACTTTCATAGTTAGAGGAATGACTAATACTGATGATATCCACAATAGTTACTAAAAAGTAAGATGAAAAAGTGTTACTCCAAAGCACACACTGAACCAAGACATAACTGCAATGTAAATAAGTTAACTTCTGCCTGGGCTGGACATCTTCCATTTGCCCTCTAGATCCACTCTCCACCTTTCTCCTCTTTGCAGACTGGAGAAAGGAAAGAAAATGAGTTTAGTATATTTTCCCCCCAGCTCTCTCACTGACAGGCAACCTATGACTGGCTGTGTCAAGGGACTGGCTTGTCTTTCAATGCAGCCCCTTCTTCCTTTCAAGGTTCCAGTAACCTCTATTCTTCTCTTCCTTCAGGATTAGAGGTGGGGATAATAATCTTGAAGTTGTAAACTCCAGGGTACTGCACAAGCTGGCTATTTCCCTGCACCATTACTATACTCTTTGATCATTTAATCCCTTCATTAAATTCTCCTTGAATTACTCTAATTTGAGTGCATCTTCTACTTCTTAATGGGACCCTGACTGAACCAATTTCTTTCCTTCCCTCCCTTCCCCCACCCCCGAACCGCTTTCTTTTTTTGAGACAGAGTCTTGTTCTGTAACCAGAGATACAGTGGACTGGGGCCATCTCTGTTTACTGCAACCTCCGCCTCCTGGGTTTAAGTGATTCTCCTGCCTCAGCCTCCCTAGTAGCTCAGTGGTGTAGGGCCCGACACCACTCCCGGCTGATTTTTTTTTTGTTTTTTGGTAGAGACAGGGTTTTACCATGTTGGCCAGGCTGGTCTCTAACTTCTGACCTCTGGTGATCTGCCCGCTTAGGCCTCCCAAAGTGCTGGAATTACAGGTATGAGCCACCACACCCAGCCCTGACTGAACCAATTTCAAAACATTTTTTTTAGATCCAGAAAAAAAACAAACTGATGACTGTGGAACACAAATAATATCAGAAATAATTATTTAAAGAAAAGGCAAATATATTTATCATCCTAAGGTAAATATTTTACTTAAGAAAAATAATATAAAGTTTGCAATAAAAAATTTAAAATTTGTCCTTAAAAATGTAGTCTATAAAAATATAGACCTTGTTGGATCCTGATGTGAAAGAACAATTATACAAAAACATTTTTGAGATGACTGAGGAAACATAAAAATAAGACTATTAGATGATATTAAGGCATGATTATTTTTGTTGAATCAATAATGGTAATATGGTTTTTGTTTAAGTCCTTATGTTTTGGAGATACATAATGACGCTTTTACAAGTAAAATCATATTATGCTTAGAACCATTTAAAAATATTTCAGAAAAAATGAGGTACATAAAAGACATGAAACAAAACAGTAGAATGCCATTCTATATATGCATGTCTGAAAATTTCCATAATAAGAAGTTCAAAAAACTATAGAATATAAAATTACTATGTTAAAAAAAAAAACCTGAAAACTACCTGTCCAAAAACAGAGGACTGGTTAAATCAATTATGGCTTATATACATTGTGATAATAGCAAGAAATGATGCGAGTAGTCTTCAGGCCCAATTCCATTTATCTCCATTAACCAAGTCTTAAGCCACCTCCAATAAGCATAAACCTAAGTCAAAACTGTGTGCTAGTCATGCAAAACAGCTACAATACAAATTACCTACCCCTTTTCCAATAAGATTATCACCATAAACTCCTCACATTAGCTCTCCAACAACCTTTTTTTTTTTTTTTCCTGAGAGATAAGGTTTTGCTCTGTAGCCCAGGCTGGGGTGCAATAGCATGATCACAGCTTACTACAGCCTCCACCTCCTTGGCTCAAGTGATCCTCCCACCTCAGCCTCCTGAGTAGCTGGGACTACAGGTGCATACCACCTGTATACCTTGCTATTTTTTTTATTTTTTGTAGAGATGGGGTCCCACAATGTTACCCCAGCTGGTCTGAAACTCCTGGGCTCGAGCAATCCTCCCCCCTCAGCCTCCCCAAGTGCTGAGATTACAGGTATGAGCCACCATGCCTGGCAATTCTCCATCAACCTTTCTACATATAAATGAAATAATATGAAATGGTATCAAAAGCTGTTCAAAAATATTAGGTGAAAAAGGCAGCTTACAAACTACTATATATTGTATTTTACTAGTAAAAACATAAATCGTATGATTCCCAAAGAAGCTGGAAAAATGGCAGGCACCATGGCTCATGCCTGTAATCCCAGAAATTTGACAGGCTGAGGCAGAAGGATCACCTGAGGCCAGGAGTTTGAGACCACACTGGGAAACATAGCAAGACTCTGTCTCTACAAAAAATAAAAAAAATAGCAAGGTAGCAACTGCCTGTAGTCCCAGCTACTCAGAAGGCTGAGTGAGGCAGGAGGATCTCTTGAGTCCAGAAGTTTGAGGCTGCCATGAACTATGATCTCGCCACTGCACTCCAGCCTGAGTGACAGAACAAGACCTTGACTCAAAAAAAAAAAAAAGATACAATAAAACATTAAATCAGTAAGGGTTGCTTCCCTTCTTTCTTGTTTCTAATATACTATTTTTAAACAGAAATTAAATGCCTTTTAAAAGAACTGTATACAGCAGAAGAGTGGCCAAATGGTCAATTAAGGCTCTTTTCTAAAGCTTAATGAGAACTTTATCATTAAAACATCATTAATTAGGGTAAACTCTAAAGAATGCCCTAATGACAGATTATTAATGATAGATGGCAGTAAAATACTGGTTGTCAATCTGTCACTATTTATTAATCTGAGGTTGGAATTATCATTCAAGGGCACTTACATGATCTGAACAAATCTGTAAATAAGATTTAGATTTAAATGTCCACATTTGTCTGATTTTCAGATATCATTTGCTGGTGTACAAACCCATCAAAAGAAACACTTTTTACTAATTACTTTCTTTCAGTTTGCAGTTTCACCTTCCAAGTAAGGGTGGAAAGATTTAAAAGAACGTATGTGTGCCTAGACATTTCAAAAGCAGACTGCTGCAAAACTAGTGCTAACAAATTCATCCTGTCTTTTAATATAGACAGAAATCCCACTTCCACTAATAGCACTAAGGGACAGAAGAAAGCAATGTAGTCTCACATAAGTGACAAGTGTGACATAGCAAATCCCTCGACGAATTCAAATGTAAAAAGGACAAGCCCACCCCCCAAGCCAAAAGCCAAAAGTGCTTTAACTAGGGATTTCAGGGCCTATTAATTTTAGAAGCAGTAACATTAGTATCCCAGTCTGTCGTCACTAGAAGCCCTTTGGGTTTTGAGAATTCCCTGGTGTGTCGCATCTTTCTACAGAACAACAAGCTACCAAAAGACTGAAATGAATGCAAAAAACGACTAGGTTCTAGGGAAACCAGATGAGATGCAAAAGAAAGAAACCAAGAGACAAATAAGGGTCCACCTGTTCTCAGGGCGCAGGAATGGTCGTTCTCACATGGGGCCAAAATAAGATTAAAAATAACTGACTCCATGCTCTGACCACGGCAGGGGGTGAGCACCTGCCATCCTCATTCCAGAGGTACAGGACCGAGAAAGGGAAAGCCTCCGACTGCCTCCCAAGGTCTCCTGGCATAGACCGTTAGCGGCACCCTCCCCTTCAGTCCGAGACAGCGACGTCGTCACGTCCTGACACTTAACTCTCCTAGTGGGGCCCCTGTCCCGCCTCCACCCCAGCCTTTTTCCCGCGGCCCTCAGGATGCTCACTTAAGGAAGCCGACGTGCTCTTCTCCGTCTACGAGCACTCGGGCCGCCGAGATCCAGTCCTGGGGCTTCACCCCCGGAACAACTGCACGCCCCTCAATCTTGAAGCGATCTCCTATGCCGACCCCACTCCCTACCGATCCCTCTGCAGCAGCCCCGGGCACCTCCGAGCTCTGGACATCCCCTGATAGCAGCAGCAGCAGGACTGGAAAGAATCCCCACAGAGCGGCCGCCATGACAGAAGCTCTACACTCAGGTCAGCAGCCCCGGAAGCCTTCCCTGTCTCCCGGCCGCCACCGCCGCCGTTGGCGGCTTCGTGACGTCATCAGTGCGCGCCCGCTTATGTCATAAGCTGTGGGATCCAACCAGAGGGAAGAAATCATGGCCGATCGACTAGCGAGGCGGAAGAAAGGCGGAAGTACTGCCCTAAACTCCCGGCGCTCCGGGTTGGAAGGCGGTGCGCAGAGCATGTGTCAAATGCTCAGAAAGGGGACCGCCCATTAAGTGAAAGTGAAGTCTGTGTTGCTGTGGCAGCCACGGAGGCCAGGGACCTCACGGGAGTAAAAGATGATGGGACTGGCTTCAGGAGAAACACCATCAAGAAGAGAACTTTCAAAAAACTTCTAGAGACTCCCCAAGACGTATGAGATGAAAGGCTCCTGTCTGTGTGCGTTTAACCCATTTCTCCTTATCCCCGAGATTAGGCGCTGCTGTGCCTGCGACTGCAGCGTTTACGCCCGGATAACGCGTGGATTACAGTCCCGACTTTACTCCCAAAGTTTGCCACAAAATATCTCGCGTCTATTATTTTTGCATGGTTCTAGTATTTTGACTTTGAAAACAAAAGACATCATTCTATTTATAGCATTCTGTTTTTAGTAGTGGCATTACCATTTACAAAATATACTAATTCTCGATCGCTGAAATGTCAAATCCGAGAAAACGTACCATTCCTATGCGTGATGGTAATACTGGTCTCCAACAGTTGTTGGCCGAAGATTCATTTGATGAATCTGATTTTTCGGAAATAGACGATTCTGATAATTTTTCAGATAGTGCTTTAGAAGATGATAAGATCAGGCCTCTGTCCCATTTAGAATCTGATGGAAAGAGCCCTACATCAATGGACTCAGGGCGTTCTCTGAAATGGTCAACTCGTGCTATGATTCCACGTCAAAGGTATGACTTTACCGGCACACCTGGCAGAAAAGTGGATGTCAGTGATCTCACTGACCCATTGCAGTATTTTGAACTGTTTTTTACTGAAGAATTAGTTTCAAAAATTACTAGAGAAACAAATGCCCAAGCTGCCTTGTTGGCTTCAAAGCCACCTGGTCCAAAAGGATTTTCACGAATGGATAAATGGAAAGACACTGACAATGATGAGCTGAAAGTCTTTTTTGCAGTAATGTTACTGCAAGGCATTGTGCAGAAACCTGAGCTGGAGATGTTTTGGTCAACAAGGCCTCTTTTGGATACCCCTTACCTCAGGCAAATTATGACTGGTGAAAGATTTTTACTTTTGTTTCGGTGCCTGCATTTTGTCAACAATTCTTCTATATCCGCTGGTCAATCAAAGGCCCAGATTTCACTGCAGAAGATCAAACCTGTGTTTGACTTTCTTGTAAATAAATTTTCAACTGTATATACTCCAAACAGAAACATTGCAGTTGATGAATCACTGATGCTGTTCAAGGGTCCATTAGCTATCAAGCAATATGTCCCAACAAAACGCGTACGATTTGGTCTGAAGCTATATGTACTTTGCGAAAGTCAATCTGGTTATGTGTGGAATGCGCTTGTTCACACAGGGCCGGGTATGAATTTGAAAGATTCAGTTGATGGTCTGAAATCATCACGCATTGTTCTTACCTTGGTCAATGACCTTCTAGGCCAGGGGTATTGTGTCTTCCTCGATAACTTTAATATATCTCCCATGCTTTTCAGAGAATTACATCAAAATAGGACTGATGCAGTTGGGACAGCTCGTTTGAACAGAAAACAGATTCCAAATGATCTGAAAAAAAGGATTGCAAAGGGGACGACTGTAGCCAGATTCTGTGGTGAACTTATGGCACTGAAATGGTGTGACACAAAGGAGGTGACAATGTTGTCAACATTCCACAGCGATACCGTGATTGAAGTGAACAACAGAAATGGAAAGAAAACTAAAAAGCCATGTGTCATTGTGGATTATAATGAGAATATGGGAGCAGTGGACTCAGCTGATCAGATGCTTACTTCTTATCCATCTGAGCGCAAAAGACACAAGGTCTGGTATAAGAAATTCTTTCACCACCTTCTACACATTACAGTGCTGAACTCCTACATCCTGTTCAAGAAGGACAATCCTGAGTATACCATGAGCCATATAAACTTCAGACTGACATTGATTGAAAGAATGCTGGAAAAGCATCACAAGCCAGGGCAGCAACATCTTCGAGGTCGTCCATGCTCTGATGATGTCACACCTCTTCGTCTATCTGGAAGACATTTCCCCAAGAGCATACCGCCAACTTCAGGGAAACAGAATCCAACTGGTCGCTGCAAAATTTGCTGCTCCCAGTATGATAAGGATGGCAAGAAGATCCGGAAAGAAACACGCTATTTTTGTGCGGAATGTGATGTTCCACTTTGTGTTGTTCCATGCTTTGAAATTTACCACACACAAAAAAATTATTAAATACTGATCATCTTATACATATCTGTTCCATTAGGATTAGAGACAAGTTCTGTTTAGAAGTAACTCCAAGATTGGGAGGCCAAGCTGGGCAGATCACCTGAGATCAGGAGTTTGAGACCAGCCTGGCCGACATGGTGAAACCCCATCTCTACTAAAAATACAAAAATTAGCTGGGCATGGTGGCACACACCTGTAATCCCAGCTACTCAGGAGACAGAGGCTGGAGAATCACTTGAACCCATGAGGTGGAGGTTGCAGTGAGCCGAGATTGCACCACTGTACTCCAGCCTGGGCAGCATCTCAAAAAAAAAAAAAAAAAGACCAATAACTCCAAGAAAAGTTTTTATATTTTACTTATTTTACTTTCTTTTCTTTCCTTTCCCCAATTTTTTTTTTTTTTTTGAGATGGAGTCTTGCTTGGTTGCCAGGCTGGAGTGCAGTGGCAAGACCTTAGTTCACTGCAACTTCCACCTCCTGGGTTCAAGCCATTCTCCTGCCTCACCCTCTCAAGTAGCTGGGACTACAGGCATGCACCAGTACACCCAGCTAATTTTTTTTCTTTGTATTTTTAATTTTAGGAGAGACGGGATTTCACCATGTTGGCCAGAATGGTCTCAATCTCCTGACCTCATGATCTGCCGGTCTCAACCTCCTGAAGTGATGGAATTGCAGGCGTGAGCCACCACACCCGGCCCTATCTTTTATTTTCATATTGAAAACCAGTCAGATTTGCTTCCGCCTCGAAGAGCGCATTTATGTAAAATTAGATGAGTGCAAGCAGTGAGCAGAACTTTTGTTTTTTTTGTCCTAAATGGGAAATGGGAAGAAGAGACTGTCTCTGCACAAAAATAGCTGGAAAAATACATAAGTGTTACCTTTTCTGGTGAAAAGGGTAGGAAGACAATTTATCTGATGCTACACTATGCTTCCTGTTGTAATTGCTTTACTGTAAACTAAACAACAAGGTTGTAGTGGGAGGAGGGGGGTTGCTTGCTGTCAGTGTTGATCTTTGGGGCCTTAGCCAAGATTTTAGACATCATTTGCTCCAGTCCTTCCATTTTCTTTCTGGTCTCAAAAAAAAAAAAGAAAAGCAAAGTAACTTGCCTAAGATTTTCTTGGCCCTAAACATGGCTGTCTCTACTACAGATCCCTATTGAAGGTAATGCATGTTTTAGCCTGTGCACTCTTTTAAGAGTTAACATCCTGGAGAAGACTAACAACTGAAAAAAGAGATTCAAGAGTCAAGTACTCAGCCATGGCAGGGGATGAGGACATGGTGCCTAGAGCCACCCCTATACTCGAGTCTTCCTGGCATCAGCTACTGCAGCATTGGGGTACTTTCCCTTGTCGTTTTCTGAAGATAGTTATTTCTTCATATTTGATGGTTGGAAGGAGCAACATTGCTCAGAAAAACAAACAAACACATTTGACTTTCGTGTCTGCCAGATAAATCTCTTATTTGCCAGGGAACTGGTAATCTAGGATCAAGAAGTGTGTGGAGAATGTTTATTTTCATTCTTTTTACTTTAAAATATGCTTTTGTTTTTGAATAGATAAGACATTCAAGTGTCAGAAAGTAAAAGTCAGTTCAGGACCAAGAAAGGAAAGATCAGTGCTAATTTTAATCAGACAGTGATGTACCTACTAGATACAGATAGGGCCAGTGGCAAGGCCATCAGAAAACTTTTTCCCAAGTCCACACCACACCTGCAAAATACCTAATAACCTTTTTTTCAGTGATTACTGCTTTTTTACCAATGACTTCGCTTTGTTCCACTTGCCTCTGAACAGATTGCTGAGATACTCAATCCAGAGCTGATCCTTGCTTCCCTAGACTCTCCTCAGTCATTCAACAGAAGCCCAAATACTGTAAAAGTTCCTTTCTGTTCCCTCTTACTGTGATATCTTTGGTTTCTCTGGTGTGGAGTCTTCTTTACAGCAGCAAACTCATAAGCTGAACTTTGACTGCAGGTGTGTTCTTTGGTGGTCTTTATCTGATAGACTTTGTCACATGGTACAATATTCAAAAGGTATTAAAAAAAATTTCTCACCTACTTCTCTCCTTAGTCACCCAATTCTCAAGAAGCAATCAGTGTTATCATTTTCCTGAGTGTTCTTCCAGAAGTAGTAAATTATCTGCAGAAAAATACATATATTAAAAATAAGGCTAGGCACTTATTTTTAAGTGGCATTTTAATAATGGCATGCCTGTAGTCCCAGATACTTAGGAGGCTGAGGTAGGAGGATCACTTGAGGACAGGAGTTTGAAGCTGTAGTGTGCGATGGTAGCAGTCCTATGAATAGCCATTGCACTCCATCCTAGGCAACATAGCCAGACCCTGTCTCTAAAAAAAAAAAAAAAAAGAAAAAAAATACACTTTTTTTTTCATTTAAAAAAATCCATATATACATATATATGTATATATATAGTATGTGACCAGTTGTGTGAAAAAAGAGGCAAAATATGTATTTATTGAATTTATAATATACAAATAACATTCTAGAAATAAAAGTATTAATATAAAATATACTATAATATATAATGTATTACCCAACATGATTATATATAACTATAATGTGTACTGTGTTTTACATATATATTTCCACAGCATACTATAAATGCAATTCTGCACTTTGCTCTTTTTACTTAATATATCTTGGAAGTCATCCTTTATTAGTAAAGAGTTTCATAATTCCCTTTTATGGCTGCAAAATGTCCCAGCTTATGGATGGACTGATTCTTCATTGAGCAACAGTAAGATTGTGTCCTATTGTACTATTCCTAATTTTGCTGAAGTGAATTTCTTTTGCCACGTGATTTCCAGAGTGTACATATGTAGTATAACTAGTACTAGCAGAAAGTAGAATTGCTAGATCAAAGAATATGTGCCTTTGTAATTTTGATGATACTGTGAAATCTTCTTCCACAGAAGTTGTTGCAACTTTCACTCTCACCAGCAATGTGTAAGATGGCTTGCTCCTCCTCACCAACAATGTTATCTTGCCAAGCAAATAAATTAAAACTGATATATCAGTTTTTTGTTTGTCTGTTTGATTGGTTGGTTTTTGAGATGTAGTCTTAGTCTGTCACCCAGGCTGTAGTGCAGTGACACAGTCTTGGCTCACTGCAATCTCTGCCTCCCACGTTCAAACGATTCTCCTGCCTCAGCCTCCCCAGTAGCTGGGACTACAGGATTCTGCCACCACACCTGGCTGATTTTTGTATTTTTAGTAGAGACAGAGTTTCACTATGTTGGCCAGACCAGTCTCTAACTTGACCTTGTAATCAGCCCACCTCGGCCTTCCAAAGTTGCCCAGGCTGGAGTGCAGTGATGCAATCTCAGCTCATTGCAACCTCTGCCTCCTGGGTTCAACCTCAACTTCCGAGTATCTGGGATTACTAGGCACCCACCACCATACTCAGTTAATTTTTGTATTTTTAGTAGAGACAGGCTGTCACCATGTTGGCCAAGCTGGTCTCAAACACCTGACCTCAGGTGATTCACCCACCTCAGCCTCCCAAACTGCTGGGATTACAGGTGTGAGCTACCATGCCTGGCCCTTCTTGGTTTTTTAATCCTTCTTCTGCCATATGGGGAATTAAATCTAAGTTGTATTGTAGGATTAATGGAGAGCAGCTAAAGAGGAATAAAGCCATGTGTTCAGCCAAGGATAGTTATCATGAAGGATAAAAGCCTCAAAATCCTGATTTTAAAATCAGCCCACGTTGAGCTGAGCCCTGAGACAGGCCTTTGTTTCAGTCCCAACCAGAGCAGAAGTAAGCATTTTTGGAACCATAATAAAAAGATTATTTGAGAAATAATGGATTTGGACAAAAGATTATAATGTGCTACAGCCCACTGACCATTACACACTTTCTAAACTATGAATAAAATTTTATTTTTCAAAAATGATTTCAAAAATTGCAAAATTTAGAAACACGCTGAAATAAAAACAGCTTCATCCCAAGTTTCCTGATTTTTTTTTTCCATATATTTTTGGTGATCCCTCTTTGCTGGTAGTATCTTAGATACTTGTTCAGTTTGACTAACAGGTAATCAATGCTCATCACAATACCTCAGATAGGAGCTGGGAAGTTTACTTTTCAGTAGGACAAAAGGTGGAAAAGGACCAGCAGTGAACAGCAACTGAGGTCTCTGTATCCCCATTTTTTTCTTCCTTTCTCCCTTTCCCTTATTGTTACACATACTAAACTATCCAATGCTTCGAACCTCTCATATGTCAGGCTTATACCCCTGTAGGCATTACATGGAGAAGAAAAGCCTGAGTAATTGTCTTCAGGTACTGTTAAATTCTGTTATCTTTACTGTTTTCCAGGTAGGCCAGAGGAATTGGATAGAGATTCAATTCCAAATTATGTGTTTTCCCATAATGTAGTCCTTGGACTCATACTTTATAAAAGAAACTATAATTATAATAAAATATTGTAGAAAGATTTTGTGCTGGACTGGCTTAGTTTGTCCAGCTAGATCACCTTTTTTTTTTTTTTTTTTTTTTGAGACGGAGTCTGCTCTGTCACCCAGGCTGGAGTGCAGTGGCGCAATCTTCGCCACCGCAACCTCCGCCTCCTGGGTTCAAGCGATTCTCCTGCCTCAGCCTCCCCAGTAGCTGGGACTACAGGTGCGTGCCACAAAGCCCAGCTAATAATTTTATTTTTAGTAGAGACAGGGTTTCACTATGTTGGCCAGGATGGTCTGGATCTCTTGATGTCGTGATCTGCCCTCCTTGGCTTCCCAAAGGACTGGGATTACAGGCGTGAGCCGCCACGCCCGGTCCAGCTAGATCACTTTCTACCCTCACCCTGCTTTGTGTCCTGGAAGGCTGGACCCTTAAGGGCTGCAGAAATTCGGTTCCATTTGCTTCTGGCTTCCTGTTGGGTTCAGCTAATGGGAGCTGTATACTAGTAACACAACCCCTGCAGTTTCTCTTAACACTCCCCATACTTCAAAAAAAGATTAATGAAGTTTACAATCACCTTTTTTGAGTGTTCCCTTTGTTTCCTGCCAAGACCGTGACCCATCTGTATTTCAAGAACTACATATGTTAATTAATGCAAAAAGTGTTAAAGTGATTTATCATCCAAGCCGTTCACTTTTCGCCCCCCCCCCCGCCCTTTTTTTTGCTGCCTAGCTGTTCATATCATGGCCACAAGGGGGTGAACAAAGATAGGGACAGAAACAAATCACAAAACCCATGCTTTAGGAATTTTTATAAATGTCAGATTATACCAACAGAAGTTAACTCTAGGATTTACATGTAATATTTTTATTTTACTCAGTATTCTTTTTAAGTCTCTGTTTTTGGCACCATTTTATAGTCAGAAAAATATAAAGCTATTTTTCAAAATAAAGGAGGAAGTAAACGCTAAAATATATATGTATACCTATATATATTAGATAAAAATATAGAATATTTACTTTGAACTAAAAATATATAAATGCTAAATATATATAATAGAATTTACTTTGGACTCTTAAAATTGGAATCTGTCAAAATCAGTTATCATCTCTTTCTGGACTTTTCATGATCATTTAAAGTAACATCTTTGGGGATATTTTCAGCCTTTCCCGGTTTTGTTTCAGTATTCTGCTTATCAGCACTGATGTAATCATGCTTTTCAAACTATTCTTCACACATTGGCTATCTATTTACATGTAAGAGGTAGTCAGTTATAAGGTAAGACTTCAAAGTAACAAGGATCATACCTTCAGCCACTTCTCTTTTAAAGTCAATAGGTTTGTGGTGTTTTTTGTTTGTTTGTTTGTTTTTTTAATATAGTAACACTAGCAGAATGCTTGAGGAAACTTCAGCTGTGCTAATCTCCAAATACCCATTTACTTTAAGTGATTTTTGAGCTTTAAGTTTTCAAATCTCATTTACTTCACGAAGATTAGCTAATCTGTTTCACTCCAGTAAACAGGAGCCAATTCCCATAATATTTTTAAATGCTTGTCATCCACTAGGACTGTGGATTTGGCTTTCTGAAGTTCCCTATAAAGCCCTCTGAAATCAGATAGGTCATCCACCATTCTCAGAGGGAGTTCAAGAGGAATCCCAACCTGTCTCAGAGTCCTGCAAAAATAAATTATAATGGAAATATTTCATTTTCCCCATTTTACTCTAAATTCTCATTTTTTCCACCAAATCTGTGAAAAACATAAGTAAAATAAATTGAAAAAGTGTGAAGATATGCTAAATAACTTATAAACATGAAGAGGAGGCAACCATCTTTGATATTAAGAAATGTTATAAAACTGTAAACATCCCGAGATATTCTAAAGTGCTTTGTAAATGCTAAAATGTAAATATTGTTACTTACTATAATTGAACAACAGTGACTAAGAAGTGAAAGCGTTAGGGGGAAGGAGTTATGTTGTACTGACTGCAGTTTGTGCTTTTAGGCGCTGCTGGCCTCGTGAAACTCGCTTCTCAAATGGCCTGTGGTACGGTATAGGGATATTCAATGCACTATGGGGGACTCAGGCCAAAGGACTGGCTCTAAGACCAGTCACAGAACTTAGGACAGTGGTTAAACTCCAGCTCCAGACACAACATCCTAAGCTCTCCTTGCATGTTCTCTGTGTTGCTACCTCACATGCCAGCCATTATAAAGCATTAGTGCTCTATTTATATCTCTACATAATAAATGCAAATCTGGATCTCTTTCATGCCTCAATTAGGATTTTACTTTTAAAAAAACCAAAAAACTGGGCTGGGCGCAATGGCTCATGCCTGTAATCCCAGCACTTTTAGAGGCCGAGGTGGGCGGATCACCTGAGTTGGGGAGTTTGAGACCAGCCTGACCAACATGGAGAAACTCAGTCTCTACTGAAAACACAAAATTAGCCAGGTGCGGTGGTTCATGCCTGTAATCCCAGCTATTCAGCAGGCTGAGGCAGGAGAACTGCTTGAACCTGGGAGGTGGAGGTTGCAGTGAGCTAAGATCATGCCATTGCATTCCAGCCTGGGTGGCAGGGCGAGACTCCATAACAAACAAACAACTGTGGTAAAATACACATAAAAAATTTACCAGGCCAGGCACGGTGGCTCATGCCTGTAATCCCAGCACTTTGGAAGGCCAAGATGGGTGGATCATTTGAGCTCAGGAGTTCGAGATGAGCCTTGGCAACATGGCAAAATTCTGTCCCTGCAAAAAATACAAAAATTAGCTGAGGGGAAGGACTTATGTTGCACTGACTGCACTTTGTGCTTTTAGGCTCTGCTGGTCTGGTGAAACCCACCTCTCAAATGACCTGTGGTATAGTATAGGCTGAGGTGGGAGGATCACATGAACACAAAAGATGAAGGTTGCAATGAGCCCAGGCTATGCCACTGCATTCCAGCTAGGCAACAGAGAGAACTTGTCTCAAAATAAATAAATAAAAATTTATCATCATCAATGTGCAAATGGGTGGATGATAAAATTTTTACCATCTCAACCATTTTTAAGTGTACATTTCAGTCGTGTTAAGTATATCATTGTTGCAAGTATTAAGTATATCATTATTGTAAAACTCATCTACAGAACTTTTTCATCTTGCAAAACTGAAACTATACCCATTAAACTCCCCAATTCCCCACAGCCCCTGGCAACCATCAGCCCCTGACAACCAGCATTCTTTCTGCTTCTGTAAATTTGACTACCTTTTTTAAAATTATTTTTTTTTAGACAGAGTCTCGCTGTCACCCAGGCTGGAGTGCAATGGCACGATCTTGGCTCACTGCAACCTCTACCTCCTGGGTTCAAGCGATTCTTCTGCTGCAGCCTCCTGAGTAGCTGGGACTACAGGCGCACCACCACTCCCAGCTAATTTTTGTATTTTTAGTAGAGATGGGGTTTTGCTATGTTGGTCAGGCTGGTCTCGAACTCCTGGCCTCAAGTGATCCAGTTATCTTGGCCTCCAAAAGTGCTGAGATTACAGGAATGAGCCACTGTGCCAGGTGAATGTGACTACTTTAAATAACTCACACAAGTGGAATCATACAGCATGTGTCTTTTTGTGAATAGCTTAT